TGTTTAGTATAGAGCTTAGAAAAAATTCACCGTGTGAGATAGGCAAGAAGTAAGGCATGTAGCAACATCAACACGGCGAAAGGCACTCCTTTAAAGGCAAAGACGGGTAAAAATATTTTAAGTCAAGTGATAGCGATTTCTGTATGAGTCGTATGATTTTTGAATCAAGCCCGGGCAACGCCGGTCCATGATGCTAGTGCTAAACGAAAATCAAGATATACTATGGCGGATACTCAGTGATGTAATTTAATTCCTAATAAATAAAAATAAGCAAATTTTTTAATTTTATTTTAGATTGAGAAATATATTTATATATTTTAAATAAGAAAGTGTATTTGAATATAACTGTTTTCTTTTAATTTAAAAATAAAATGTTGGATTGGGAAAGGCGTATATCTTTTTGGAAAGGAGACATTTGAAAGAATCCGGACAGGATATTTATATTTTAGTAACATTCGAGAGCGGAACACTCAAGAATTTTCCATCTATACGTTTTCTTCTATATGTGCTATGTTCCCTCAGGACGAAGACGGTCATGGCTCACCACAGTTTCCTGTCTCTTGCAGCTCTAAATAAATACTGTCTTTTCTTTATTTGTAAACCCTGTGTCGTTATCTATTTTCTCAAATAGTAGGTTATGCGTTGCTTTCCTCTGTAACATCTTGCCTTCAATATCTCCTGTGAGTACCTGATTTTTTAAAACCCGCTTCCCTCATTATGTGCCATAGAAATTTCAACTATCTTTTCCTGATGATAAGAATAAGTTTCTTTTTGTTTTCATTTTCTTTAAAACTTCGTCGTTGCTCACATGTTTACTCCATGGTATCCGCAGCATCCTTCTGTAGAACCACATTTCTGTTGTTTCAAGTCTCTTCTTCGTCTTTGTGAAGATTGTCCAGCACTCCCTGACAAACATGAGGACATATATCACGTAATAATTAAGTACTATTCTCCGTATTTCTGGCAAAGTTTTTCTATTTTGTTAATACTCTGCTTAGCTTTTGGAATGCAACTTCGGCTATCCCAATGAGCCTACGGATTTGGGTGCCACACTTTCGGTCTTTTGTTAAAGTACTTCCTATATATCTGTCTATATTTCTGTGATGGGGTATTGTAATTATTTACCTTGTTCGAACTGTTCTCCTTATCTTTATTGTCATATTCACAACGTTTCGGCCTTTGTACGCTCCGGGCTTTTTAGTTGATTGGAATTTCAAACTAAACACTTTATTTCGTCCACCGAGATAAATTATTCTAGTTCCACGCCAGCAGGCTTCTTCGGGATGTCTTAGTTACCTCCCTTTAACCCACCTCACCAAGGTTTTCCTCACAACTGCAGTAGCCAGCTATTGAACTCACAACTTTAAGTCAAGTCACTGGATCTGACCAACACTTTTATCCATTGAGCCATCTCATAAAGCAGATAACTAAGACACCCGGAAGAGGCATGGAACTAGGAAAATCCACCCCAATGGACGAAATTCCAATAACCTGAAGAAGACCGGAGCGTACAACGGCCGAAACGTTGTGAATATGTCAATAAAGATGTGGACAGCAGTCCGAACAATGTAAATAATGTAAATACTGCCTATATATTTAATTTTCTTTTTACCTGTTTGATCCTTTCCTTTTTAATAAAGAGAAACTCATTTTTTCTGAGAAATTGTTTTAAGAGGATGATTTTATAAATTTCAACCGCCAACAGCACTGGCTGCGCGTTCAGTCAATACAGAATATTTCCTTATAAGAAAAAGGGATAATAATATTAATATTACCAGAATTTATTGTCAAATTCTTCCAACGTTTGAGTTGTACATTCTGTCGACAACTATGTATGTACAGTTATCCTGTTTTTTGGGGGGTCTTTTTAGTTCCAGCGAATGTTTGTACCTAGAAATAATCCAAGAATTCGAATATTGATTTTCCGTAGGCTCGTCTCTCCTTTTAGGAATATTATCGCAATACAATCGTCTCTTTATTTGTTTTTCCCCATTTTGCCATGTGCCGGACTTCAATCAGGCCAAAACTGTCTGGTCGAAAATGTCACTTCAAAATAATAACGCTGTCCATTGCTAGAATGGAAATCTTAGCGAAAAGGAAAGTCTGCATTTACAGAATAGTTTGGCATTTTGAGAAATCTTCTTACGGAATTATGATAAGCCGCTAGCGTCCATTCGCGTCAGCATTTAAAACCTTACAGCGTGTTCTTCTGACATTTCATTGTTTGGGGTATTTTTTTTTAAACACACTACCTGAAAATGAAATGTCTCCAAATATGCAGCGGAAAATCAAATAAGAAAAAACAAATTAAAGACAAACTGTCCATTTAAATCCTTACTGAAGTCCATATATTCCTAAAGAGACCAACATTTTAAAACGAGTAGACTTTTAAGAAGTGACCAGTGAACCCCTATTTTTTGTGTTCCAACGACATTTGTAAAATCATGGTTTGAATAGCTTGCTTTAACATCTGCACGTGATCTTCCCGAGATAACTTCCGTTCATCACGACTGGCAAAATTTCTGAGTCCGGTTGGCGATGGTAGAAAGTTCGCTAGTTTGGTTTTTGAGGCGTTGAATATAACCATTCAGTTTTTCCTCCACTAAGCTGTTAAAGCTAAGTCAGAGTAGAGATCAGCAGCTACGCTCTGTTCATCGAGGGTGTGGGAGCTGTACCCATATACTTCTTGATTCCTGTATAATTGTTGTAACATTATCGAAGAGGCCAGATGCAAATGAATAATGAATAATTCTCCATAAGAAATCTAATTGATATAGAGTAGTTTCACAGTGGAGGCTTGTATTTCACTAAGCCGGTCCTAAAACGGTTCGACGTACAAAACGTTAGAAACTTGATATACTTGTCAATGACGCAGCAATCTAGTTGTGGTGGTTGATACTTTAATGTCCGACATCGACTGACTGACCAACTCACTGAGCCACTTTAGCGACTGCTACTACTACTTATTATAGGTGGGAGAGTCTATTAACAATAGAATAGCTATGTTCCATTATGACACTAATGATTCCAATGCTGTTGAATAGAACGCGAAATAGAATTAGACTAAAAATAGGGCAAGAACAGTACGGCTTTGTCAAGGACACTGAAATGAGAAATACAATATTCATTATTAAAATGATATCAGAGAGAGCAACAGAAATGCAGATGGATGTGTACTTATGTTTTATGTTGTGGCCTTGTTAGGGACAGAAATAAAAACACAAAGATAGGAATTGAGTTAAACAAATATATTAAGAGAAATAGTAATACAAACATATACAAACGAATGTTACAGCAAGAAGTAAGTCCGAGTGTCAAAGCTGACTGCTAGAAATGTCCCTCTCCCAAAAAGGCATTAACTGCTCCTATTTATAGCTGGGAGAGTCCATGCGTGCGTGGCTAAATTACCATAAGAAATAAATAGATCCATTGAATACGATCAAGCAAATATTTGAAGAAAGTATATAAGATAGGAATTGAGTTAAACAAATATATTAACAGAAACAGTAATACAAACATATACAAACGAGAGTGTTACAGTAAGAATGTTCGGTTCGACTGTCAGAGCTGACTGCTGGAAACTTCCCTCTCTCAAAAAGGCAGTACTTTCTCATATTTATAGCTGGTAGAGTCTATGCGTACGTGGGTAAATTACCATAACATTTTATATATTACGCAAAAGCACTTGACAAATTAGGCGACAGAAATCTATTTGAAGAGGCTAAAAAACTAAATCTATTCGGAAAAGATCAGAAAAATCCAGATCTTATACTAGAGAACACCGCCTGCTTATGGACAGAAAATAAATTGATTAGCTACACAAAAAATAGAAAGAGGCATAAGACAAGGTCGAGTCTTCCTCACGGATTTTTTCAACTGCTACATCGACACTATCCTAATGTTGCATAGCCCCCTGATGCTGAGCGGTCTTGGCCACTGCGTCAAATTAAACCTATGTCGCATATCTCTCTCTCTCTCTCTGTTCTTCTCTCGGCCGTGTAGCGAAATGTTTTTGGGTTCAGAGATAAGACATCAACATGGGAGTTTTAACTTAGCTAGTTAATTAATGTCTACGTATACATCTCTAAGTAGCCAGTGGGGGCGCACTCCCTCTCTCTCTCCACTGGAGAGCAGTTTCCAGACACAAAAAGGAAATCACGTCTACAGCGTATGACGGTTTAGAAACAACTCCTGAAAAGCCATTTCTGTATCAATCGTTCTCACGTTCGTTCAGCTAATCAAAATCGACTTCCTTGTTTTGTCTTCTATCTGACCCCTAAGCTCAGCCTCGGGATACACTTCGCTAAAAAAAATAGTAGTCTGCTAAAGTAGTATTTAACACTAAGAGAGCCAGAGCCCCTACTAAGTTATATTACCAGTGGCCGTAATCTTAACAATGTAAGATACGAAGATGACACTCTGTGGATGGCCGACCCGGAAAGAAAATTACAAGAACACCTAGACAGGGTAGTGGAATAAAACGAGGAACAGGACTAACCATTAACTGCAAGAAAATAGAAAGTACGATCGTGAGCAAGAAAAAAAAATGCAAGTTACAAATTGGGGATGACAACATAAAGTAGGTGCGGACGTTTAAATATGTGGACAATGTGATATTGAGAGCTGAACACACATTGTACCACCGGAAGAAGCAGTCTAAAAGCTAAGCAAGATGCCGAGTGACGAAAAAAATTCGTTAGAAACAAAGAAAATGCGGAAATTAAATATCTGGGAAGTGTTTTAACTGAGAACGGAATGTGTGACACTGAAATCTGAAAGCCTAATGGAAAAGCCAAAGATACCTTCCAAAAACTAAACAGTGTATTAAGAAATAGTAAAAAAAAAAAAAAAAAAAAAAAACTTCGCTAGAAACAGGGAAAACAGTACGTGCAGTATTATGTGATTCAAAGATGAAGATGAAACTTGAAGTAGCAGAAATGTGGTTCTACAGAAGGATGTTGGATACACCATAGACCGAGCATGCGTGCAATAACATAGTTTTACAGAAAATGGAAGCCAAGAAGAAACTTGAGAGAGACAGACAGGTAGAGAGACAGAGAAAGAGAAAGAGGCAGACAGAGATAGAGGCAGACAGAGAGATAGAGAGAGATAGAGACAGAGAGAGAGAGAGACAAAGAGATAGGGGCAGACAGAGAGATAGAGAGAGATAGAGACAGAGAGAGAGAGACAAAGAGATAGAGGCAGACAGAGAGAAATAGAGGCAGACAGAGAGAAACAGAGTGATAGAGGCAGACAGAGAGAAACAGAGAGGGATAACAGATAGAGAGAGATAGAAGCATACAGAGAGAGACAGAGAGATAGAGGCAGACAGAGAGAGATAGAAGCAGACAGATAAGAAAGAGATAGAGGCAGATAGAGAGAGACAAAGAGATAGAGGCAGACAGAGAGAAACAGAGAGAGATAGAGGCAGACAGAGAGAGAAACAGAGTGACAGAGAGAGATAGAGAGAGATAGAAGCAGACAAAGAGAGATAGAGGCATACAGAGAGAGACGGAGAGATATAGGCAGAGAGATAGAGGCAGACAAAGAGAAACAGAGACAGAGAGAGATGGAGAGAGATAGAAGCAGACAAAGAGAGATAGAGGCAGGCAGAGAGAGACAGTGAGAGATAGAGGCAGACAGAGAGAGAGAGAGATAGAGAGAGGCAGACATAGAGAGATAGAGATGTAAATTCTTGGGTACGTGATGAGTAAGGAGAACTTGGAAAATATGATAATCACGGGACGGATGGAGGTCAAGAAGGACAGAAGAGGAAAACAACGCATAATACACTTGATCAGCTTGAGTAAATAGATGGCGGGACAAGTTTTAGAAGAAAGAAAAGAAAGACAAAATTTATTAAGAGCAACAAGGGACAGGGATATTGTGGAGACCCATGATCGTCTACATTCCGGGGGTACACGGCACATAAAGAGAGAAGAGATGTGATATCCCTCCTCTTATATGGTATACTGGAGGCAGTTATGGTTATTTAGAAGGCTACTGAAAATTCCATGGACGAATCGAGTGAGAAACCAGGAAGTCTTAACGAAAATATCCGCAGAAACTCAAAAAATGATGAACTTCTTTGGACATAATGTGAAAGGAGGGCTTGGTAAACTTAACACACACAGGGCGTGCTGAGATCAAGAGAGATAGGAGAAAGCAGTCTTCAACTTACCTGAAGATCGTCTGTAAATGGTTAGCAAATCTGCCAGGGGCCAAAAGGTATAGAAAGTCGCGGAGAGCCATGAACGCTTATGTCCTGAATGGTCATGGTACACAGAAGAATCTGTGTCGCTTAATCAGAAGATGTACTCTTACGTCATATATTACTAAGAAGTTTTGGAAATAAATATTAAGATAAATGAAGAAAAATATGTAAAAATTGTTCAAAACCTTTTATAAGTCTCTTAGTCTACGCGGGCAATTCAGTATTTATCGTTCCACCCACGAGGACCGAATATGGCACAAGGCCGATTTTAATGTGGGTATCCCCGAGCCCGTAGGCCCGGCCAAAAATATAGCCTTTGAACCCGCCTAGACGGGTTCAGGCCCTGTCTACTTCCCCGGACGAAACCTTGCCCTTCGGTAAAGCCTCGTCCGCAGAGAGTTCGACAGAAGGCGTGCGCAGTCAGAGACCGCTCAACACCGTTCTATAGTGATTTTCCAAGCGTAGCTTGGATGTGGCACAAGGCCGAAAGTAAGGGGCACCCAGTGAGGATCGAACTCACTACTCATTGTCGTAATTGTTCTAGCGAGACAAGCTTGCTAACCATTACACCACCTCGAGGTGCCCCGCGGACCGTTATAGGCAGGGCGCCACAAAATAAACTATTGTGGACGAGCTTAATGTCAAATGTTGGCTGCTAATTTAGATATTAATTTATAATGACTCATAATACTGTTTTCTACCAGGTCCACTCAATATATTTTAGATCATTTTATATAGTATTGTACATCCAATATAAGCCCCAAGAACCACTCCAGAAAGAGGGTTAATGAATGAATTTGTCGAAAGGGTGTAGAGAGCTGAGACAAGAAGTTGGTTTCGTTTATTTTGTTTTAAAGTATATCAACCTCAATAGGTGTTATAGAATAGGAAAATGTTTTTCTTCCTCCGTATGAGTTCGAATCCTGGTCGCTAAAGTTGTTATAGAGTAGTTTCACAGTGGAGGCATGTATTTCCCTAAGTCGGTCCTAAAAAAGGTTCGACGTACAAAACGTTAGAAACTTGATATAATAGTTAATGACGCAGCAATCTAGTTGTGACTGATACTTTAATGTCCGTCATCGACTGACTCACCAACTCTCTGAGCTCACTGGCGACTGCTACTCCTACTACTTATTATATGTGGGAGAGACTATTAACAATAGAATAGGTATGTTCCAGTATAACAATAGGATATTTAATGCCGACACAATTTCAAGATAGATTTGTATGGATGAAATATGTGTTCTTTTAAGAAATCAGTTTGTAGATCGGGTTTCATTCACGCATTTTTTTATAAATGTATTGCTGATAGCATTTTTTTTTTTACAAAAATGTATAGCTAGTAATGTTTCTTTTATTTTAAAAATGTATTGAAGGTATTATTTTTTTCCAAAAATATATTGCTGGTATTTTCACTATAAAACCTATTTTTCAACTTTTAGATTGTGTTGACCCCCGGTATGAGTTGGTTAATAAACAACCTAAGAGTACTAAGACATGAATAGTTAATAGTTAGGAGGCTGTAATAACTGAGTTGCAAGAATTGATTGAGTTTGTACCAAAGTATTTACACTAAATAACCATAAAATAAGATGCGTCAGACTAGTCAGTCTCTGACGATTTTATTAGAGCAAGTGAGAGTTCAATGTTTTCATTAAAACACCTCTGCCCAAGCATAGTGAACACTGGGCATATGAAAGAATTGTCATTAAAGATACAGACTCAGTTACCCCATCATTTGAGGCAACCGGTAGACCCCACCAAGAACTCATGGAAATATTACAACGCACTGGGTTGTGTTAACTTGCAAGAAGATAAGAAGTTGTATCCATTCCGTTGTTAGACAGGGAAAGTATTTTTGAAATATAAATTATAAATTTACCTATTCCCTACTCCCAAGCAGAGCGGGACCTAGGGGCGGTGGCGAGATAACAGATTGAGAGAGTATATAGCTCTGAATTCAGCTGGGATGAAATTTATGATGTTGACAGCAGAATAAACAAGGAAATGTAGGGATGATGCCTTGGGAACATATATCTCGCTATGTCTTATATATATATGACAGGTAATCACAGGTTATGTATACTCGAACTGTTTAAAAAACAATAGAGAAGGGATTAAGAAAAATTGCCAAGTAAAGGTACTGACAAAAACTGTGTTGCCACAAGCCATCAGTATAGCTGGAGTCTGGTTAATGGCCGCCCCAAAACCGATTGATCTGTCTAGGGTATATGGGGGAGAACCTACCAAGACGCTGAGAATGAGACCACAATTATCCTTAATAAAACTACCCTTGGGGTGTTCAGCGTTTGGGGTATCCATCTCATTAAACCCAAATTACCATACCGAAGAGAAATATGAAGAAAAGGACTCTATTAGAGGTATAAGTGTCAAAAGCTGAGGTAATTGTGCGGCATTATGGGAAACGGTATTGAACGAATTTCCTAAAGTTACACTAGAAAAGATGCCAGTGTTAATAAAGCAGAGAGAAAATCAATTAAAGGACAGATTAAAAGTTTTGGGAGACGAAATTATGGTTTGGGAGGATAGTAAGCTTAGGTAATTGTAATACGAATTTATGGTTCGGAAGGATAGTGAGCTTTGGTAATTGCAATACGAAATTATGGTTTGGGAGGATAGTGAGCTTTGGTAATTGTAATACGAAATTATGGTCTGGGTGGATAGTGAGCTTTGGTAATTGTAATACGAAATTATGGTTTGGGTGGATAGTGAGCTTTGGTAATTGTAATACGAAATTATGGTTGGGATGGATATTAAGCTTAGGTAACTGTAATACGAAAGAATGGTTTGGGAGGATAGTGAGCTTTGGTAATTGTAATAAGAAATTATGGTTTGGGTGGATAGTGAGCTTTGGTAATTGCAATACGAAATTATGGTTTGGGAAGATAGTTAGCTTTGGTAATTGTAACACGAAAGTATGGTTTGGGGGGATAGTGAGCTTTGGTAATTGCAATACGAAATTATGGTTAGGGAAGATAGCTTTGGTAATTGTAATACGAAAGTATGGTTTGGGAGGATAGTGAGCTTTGCTAATTGTAATACGAAAGTATGGTTTGGGAGGATAGTGAGCTTAGGTAATTGTAATACGAAAGTATGGTTTGGGAGGATAGTAAGCTTAGGTAATTGTAATACGAAAGTATGGTTTGGGAGGATAGTGAGCTTTAGTAATTGTAATACGAAATTATGGTTTGGGTGGATAGTGAGCTTTGGTAATTGTAATACGAAAGTATGGTTTGGGAGGATAGTAAGCTTAGGTAATTGTAATACGAAAGTATGGTTTGGGAGGATAGTGAGCTTTGGTAATTGTAATGCGAAATTATGGTTTGGGTGGATAGTGAGCTTTGGTAATCGCAATACGAAATTATGGTTTGGGAAGATAGTTAGCTTTGGTAATTGTAATACGAAAGTATGGTTTGGGAAGATAGATAGCTTAAGTAATTGTAACGCGAAAGTAAAGTTTGGGAGGATAGTGAGCTTTGGTAATTGTAATACGAAAGTATGGTTGGTGGGTAGTAAGCTTAGGTAATTGAAATAAGAAAGTAACGTTTGGGAGGATAGTGATCTTTGGTAATTTTAAAACGAAATTATGGTTTGGGTGGATAGTGAGCTTTGGTAATTGCAAAACGAAATTATGGTTTGGGAAGATAGTGAGCTTTGGTAATTCTAATACGAAATTATGGTTTGGGTGGATAGTGAGCTTTGGTAATTGTAATACGAAATTATGGTTTTGGTGGATAGTGAGCTTTGGTAATGGTAATACGAAATTATGGTTTGGGTGGATAGTGAGCTTTGGTAATTGTAATACGAAATTATGGTTTGGTTGGATAGTGAGCTTTGGTAATTGTAATACGAAATTATGGTATCGGTGGATAGTGAGCTTTGGTAATTGTAATAGGAAAGTATGGTTTGGGAAGATATTTAGATTAAGTAATTGCAATACGAAAGTATAGTTTGGAAGGATAGTGAGGTTTGGTAATTGTAATACGAAAGTATGGTTGGGGGGTAGTAAGCTTAGGTAATTGTAATACAAAAGTATGGTTTGGGAGGATAGTGAGCTTTGGTAATTGTAATACGAAATTATGGTTTGGGTGGATAGTGAACTTTGGTAATTGTAATACGAAATTATGGTATCGGTGGATAGTTAGCTTTGGTAATTGTAATAAGAAATTATGGTTTGGGTGGATAGTGAGCTTTGTTAATTGTAATACGAAATTATGGTTTGGGTGGTTAGTGTGCTTTGGTAATTGTAATACGAAATTATGGTTTGGGTGGATAGTGAACTTTGGTAATTGTAATACGAAAGTATGATTTGGAAGGATAGTGAGCTTTGGTAATTGTAATAGGAAAGTATGGTTTGGAAAGATAATTAGATAGTGAACTTTGGTAATTGTAATACGAAAGTATGATTTGGAAGGATAGTGAGCTTTGGTAATTGTAATACGAAAGTATGATTTGGAAGGATAGTGAGCTTTTGGAATTGTAATACGAAAGTATGGTTTGAGAAGATAGTTGACTTAAGTAATTGTAATACGAAAGTAAAGTTTGGGACGATAGTGAGCTTTGGGAATTGTAATACGAAAGTATGTTTTGTGAGGATAGTAAGCTTAGGTAATTGTAATACGAAAGTATGGTTTGGGAGAATAATGAGCGTTGGTAATTGTAATACGAAATTATGGTTTGGAAGGAGAGTGAGCTTTGGTAATTGTAATACGAATGTATGGTTTGGGAAGATTAGCTTTGGTAATTTTAATACGAAAGTATGGTTTCGGAAGTTAGTTTAAGTAATTGTAATACGAAAGTATAGTTTGGGTGGATAGTGAGCTTTGGTAATTGTAATACGAAAGTATGAATTGGAAGGATAGTGAGCTTTGGTAATTGTAATACGAAAATATGGTTTCGGAAGTTAGTTTAAGTAATTGTAATACGAAAGTAAAGTTTGGGACGATAGTGAGCTTTGCTAATTGTAATACGAAATTATGGTTTGGGAGGATAGTAAGCTTAGGTAAGTGTAATACGAAAGTATGGTTTGGGAGGATAGTGAGCTTTGGTAATTGTAATACGAAATTATGGTTTGGGTTGATAGTGAGCTTTGGTAATTGCAATACGAAATTATGGTTTGGGAAGATAGTTAGCTTTGGTAATTGTAATACGAAAGTATGTTTTGGGAAGATAGTTAGCTTAAGTAATTGTAATACGAAAGTATAGTTTGGGAGGATAGTGAGATTTGCTAATTGCAATACGAAAGTATGGTTTGGGAGGATAGTAAGCTTAGTTAATTGTAATACGAAAGTATGGTTTGGGAGGATATTGAGTTTTGGTAATTGTAATACGAAAGTATGGTTTGGGTGGATAGTGAGCTTTGGTAATTGCAATACGAAATTACTGTTTGGGAAGATAGTTAGCTTTGGTAATTGTAATACAAAAGTATGGTTTGGGAAGATAGTTAGCTTAAGTAATTGTAACGCGAAAGTATAGTTTGGGAGGATAGTGAGCTTTGGTAATTGTAATACGAAAGTATGGTTGGGGTGTAGTAAGCTTAGGTAATTGTAATACGAAAGTATTTTTTGGGTGGATAGTGAGCTTTGGTAATTTTAATACGAAATTATGGTTTGGGTGGATAGTGAGCTTTGGTAATTGCAATACGAAATTATGGTTTGGGTGGATAGTGAGCTTTGGTAATTGCAATACGAAATAATGGTTTGGGTGGATAGTGAGCTTTGGTAATTGAAATACGAAATTACGGTTTGGGAAGATAGTTAGCTTTGGTAATTGTAATACAAAAGTATTGTTTGGGAAGATAGTTAGCTTAAGTAATTGTAACGCGAAAGTATAGTTTGGGAGGATAGTGAGCTTTGGTAATTGTAATACGAAAGTATGGTTGGTGTGTAGTAAGCTTAGGTAATTGTAATACGAAAGTATTGTTTGGGAGGATAGTGAGCTATGGTAATTGTAATACGAAATTATGGTTTGGGTGGATAGTGAGCTTTGGTAATTGCAATACGAAATAATGGTTTGGGAAGATAGTGAGCTATAGCAATTGTAATACGAAATTATGGTTTGGGTGGATAGTGAGCTTTGGTAATTGTAATACGAAATTATGGTTTGGGTGGATAGTGAGCTTTGGTAATTGTAATACGAAATTATGGTTTGGGTGGATAGTGAGCTTTGGTAATTGCAATACGAAATTATGATTTGGGAAGATAGTTACCTTAAGTAATTGCAATACGAAAGTATTGTTTGGGAGGATAGTGAGCCTTGGTAATTGTAATACGAAATTATGTTTTGGGAGGATAGTAAAAGAATCGTAACAGAATCAGGGTGGACCTTGTAACAACATCAATTAAGAGATGCTTCCATACTATTGAACACCTACTGAACAAAGGCCTTTCTGTCGGATATTGTTTATTGTCATACCCAGGACGCTGAAGCAAGAAATGTATATTATACAGATATATAGAAAGGGCAAAGGTCGTCCTTATATTTGCAGAGTTTAAAATTGTAGCGATCGGGAAAGCATCTTTTCGGGAATCTGTTCCACAAAATAACACTTCTGGGGAAGAAGTCTGACAGAAACGTGTTTTTTTTATTTTTTTAAACCTTACACCACCAGCAAGGCGGGAATGCCTCTAGTACGCAGAGTATTACAGCGAGTGAAAAGACTGTTTATATACAGGATTGAGGAAAGGATAAAAGATGAATGGGATTCAAGAATATACAAGATGGCGACTGACGGTGCATTTATATTTTTGAAGATGGTAGTTATCAGGGAAGCAAGTAAACGGAAGCGATTTCCACGGTAGGGAATTGCGAGAAAAGAAACTGTTGGAGCAGAAGTGGTGGTTACATTTAACTGTTTCAACAGTAAAATTGTGTGACCTATTTGCCAATCTAGTAGCACGTTTATATTCTCGTAGTCGTTGCACCAGGGAAAAAAAAAACACGTCACAGCAGTTACCATGAAAATATTGATAGAAAAGACACAGAAAGCCAGAAGAGATCTCCGTGAGTATGTGATTGAAGTCGAGATGTCAGGTCAGGACCTATTAGATTACTGATCCTTCTTTGAATTTTGTCAAGAATATCGCGATGTACAACAGGAGGACCAGACCAGATATGGCAGCAGTATTCAATGCATAGACGAATGGTAGATTTATAAATGTGTGAGATGGATTATGACGAGAAAAAATTCTAGCCCGATATAGCGAACCAACTTTCCTTGCTGTAGATGCAGTTAATGATTCAATATAACCGCTGCACTTGATGTCAATAAGGCCTACAGTTTTACTCTCTAAAAAAAATCAATAATGTCCATCGGCGAGAACATATTCTCTGTTTATCTACCATCTAATCATCCGGGAAACTATTTTGATGCACTTGAAAGGTCGGACAGTTCAATTTAAGAATCTTGGTATTGTACTCAATTTTAAAGTTGGAGGTTCACATAATAACGAACCATAATAGTTTTCCAAATCGTTTCCGTTTTTTGAGGAAACGTGGTATTCAAAATCATAGCCTTAGAATTTCATTACAGTAATCAGCACAATATCATATAATTTATAATTTATTGAAGCTTTACAAATTGCACATGGACAAGATGCCTGACACAAACATATTATTACTAAATCAGTGTGGCATCAAATAAGACCGTCATGTATTTGAAATGGAAGTTAGATTGGTTTGGTTTGTTTTACGGCATATCATTCACAATGGGTTATTTAATGCTGACAAGATTTTTATTGCTGGTAATTTTTTTTCAAAAATGTATTGCTGCTAATATTTTTTTCAAAACTTTATTGCTGGTAATAAAATATGCTGTTAATAGTGTATTGCTGGTAATAACTTTTTACAAAGTATTTCTGGTATTAAAACCTATTTTTTACAATTTCATAGTATTTTAACCCCAGTTTGCGGGTTAAATATTTGCCCATATCTGGGACCCTAACAAGTGCTACAACCCTGGGTCAGAGTGGACCTGGGAACACCAGCAATTAAGAGGTGGTTTCATGCTCCTCACAACCTTCTGATCAGAGGCCTTGCTGCTGGACGTAGTTTATCGTCTTACCCAGGACGATGGAAATTAGACCGAACAATTTAGCTAATTTATAATGTAATATAACGAGTTGTTTTAGTACGATTTACAAGAAACAATGAAAAGTTAAAACATTTCGTCTTATAATTTGTGTCCAGCGGTATTATGGTGTTATATACATTTTATGTATTTTTCAATATCTATTTATTTTCATTAATTATCATCTAGCAAATGGTGAAACAGATCTTATTAAATAGTCTTTTTTGTAATATTTTACAAATCTTATCGAATACATTAAAAAGTAATATATTTTTCTTGTGGTGATTCATAATTAGAATTCTTGTTTGAATATATTTTCCATTGAATGTATCTAATACAGAATATATTAATTTTAATTGAATTTATTATTGAAATAGTCACATTTTGAAGTCAGCTTTTGAGGACAAACCTGCGGAAATGATGCATTTCTGTACTTTATTTCAGACCATGTTGAAACCTTTATGCTCATAAACTGGTGAAAGCTATAAATCTAATTTTGGTGTCAGTACTTACTCACGCCATTCCCCAGCATTCAGATGGAGTGTAATGTTTTTTTTTTAAAGACAGTGAAAAATAAAGCTGCACTACTGAGCAGGCGTCTACCACAGGGATTGCCTTGCCGCCCAAAAAGATTGGTGTAATAGGAAACGGCTATAGTCTTTATGTATGTATGTAACTATGTATGTAACTATCTATCTGCGGTACCCAATTTACTTTTAAATAGCCATCCATAAGTTTTGTCAAAGCAATTTACAGTATGTTACTCTCTTTCATTTTTCATCTGTTTGAGTTTTTTTCTAGAAATTCTCCTTGACAGTAATGAAGCTTGGCTTATAAATAATCAATGAAATATCTATCAGGATAGAAAGGAAACATACTTGTTATTAAAAAAATAATAATGGTATCAATCTATATTTCTGAGATGGGGTGTTATGTACACTATTTACGTTGGACTATGATTCTCATCTTTGATGCCATATTTATCACAACGTTTCGGCCGTCTTACACTCCGGCCTTCTTCAGGTGGTTGGAATGTCGAACTGAACCTTTTATTTCGCTCGCTGGTCTGGGCTAATCTAGTTCCACGTGTCATGTCTAATGTATGTCAGTTATCAGTTATCTCCTGTTAATTCCCCTCTCTAACTTCTTCACTGTCTTAACCAGGTATTGAACTCACACTATTTGGGTCCTGTCACTAGATCTAACTAACGCCTCTATCAAATGTACCATGTATCCTTCATTTTAATAAGAAATCATGTTTTACTGAAACAATGACATTTTAGAAAATCGTATTCAATATGCAGGTCAAACGAAGCAAAACGCATTAAAAGTTTTATAAAATCTTCTTTCGGTAAACATTTCTGCGAAGTTTTATGCTAATACAAATTCTCTGGCGGGAAAAGACGCTTGCGCATCGTGGCTGAAGTTGAGTAACTGGCGCCTTTAATATTGGGTCGTTGAAAGCTCGCCTCGACATGGAACGAACCAATTATTTAATTCCACGGATTTACTCGACAGAATCAGCGTAAAGGTGGACGGGAGAAGTGTTTGTGCCAATTCATATCAAAACATGCTTGAAAGATCTGCGCTTTGGTGGAGACAGAATTGTAATACCCACTGATGCATGCTTGTGACCGGCATTGGAAACGCTGCAAGGGAGTAAACTAACTAAAAATAGATTCCCCGATTCTCAAAGTAAGGAATGGTTATATTAGCGTTTATTTTCAGGAAACGCTCGGCATGTACTGAATGAACAGCCAGTACTATTCGAGTTACCATCTTTTTCGCTCTCTGGGAAATCCGGCCCCTGATCAGAGTGTAGCATCTGCTCTTCTTATTTCTGACTGTAATAGTAATATTAGTATTCTGTTTATAATGAAACAGTCGATATTTATTGCAACTAGTGCAACTCCTTCACCCTTTTCATTACTCCGTAACCATCAGGCTGAGATAAAAAAGTATTCATTGAGCCAATTCAAACCTTCATATCTAAGACCCGCCATACAACGCATATGCGAACCAACATCATTCCCTTCTTATTCCATTTGAGAGATATAAGTTCCAGTCGAGAAGCCCAAGAACTGCTACTTTGTGGAATTGACTCCCAAGGGGATGCTTCACCGATTAGTACAATCTTAGCCTGTTCCAGTCTGGGGTTAACCGTTATCTTCCCCACATATCTTTATAAACTGCGTCCATTATCTCGTACTCTGTAACCCTCTACCTCGAGTTGCTCTTGGGCCTTGTACGAGGTGAAAATTCTTGTGTAAAAGCTGGAGAAATAGTGAAACCTACTTATGGAGTTTGAGTGAATGGATGGGAATAAACTGACAAAAATATGTCAAAATTTAGTTAGAGAAACAGAAGTTAGAAATATATTTTAATTATTTCCAGCAATTTTTTTTTCATCTTGGTTGTTATAGATATTATTAAGGACAAAACATTTCAGTCATTTAGCAACGGACCGTCATCGGGTGGCCATTGCTTTCGGCTGATATGGTATATTTGTTGATTATTGCATATATTTTCACCGCTGGCAGTTGTGAGTTCAATCCCTTGGTCTGGTAATAATGAAAATTTGTATTCAGTGGAATCGAACAAGCGAAACAAAATGTGTTATGGAAGCGGCTCGAAAATGAAATTCGTCTCCCCAATAAAGCGTTGTGCGCATAAGGAACGGATTCGCTTGCTGCTACGAAATACAAAGCATATGATTAAAATCTTTTGTTGGTCTATGTAACCCTTGACCCATTCCCAACTAATTCTGTACCTATTCTGCCATCAATTCACCCACATTTATTTCTGAATATATATCACAGAAGTTCCATTTTGGGCTAACACAATTATTCCGGAAATGCGCCTGATAATTTCTAGTTAAGCATTGGACCGTTATAACATTGAACCCGTGCAACAAGAAACATACCTTCGATTTCAGGTTTTAACCCTGCACTACGTAGGCACTGATGGATACGGTGTTTGTCTACATCAGCTTGCTTGGTACGGGCAGAGTATTGGCCTTGAAGCGGTTTATCTTGCCATAGTTTTTGGATCTGGTCGGTTAGGTCTGACTTTGTTTTGTTGTTATTGTTATTCTTATTATTTCATTTGATTTTTGTTGTATACTCATTTCCTTCCGGGTCCCAGCCAGAAACCTAAGGTTAGAAATGGCATCACGAAATTTATCACTAGACATTTTTGTAAAAAGAAATATAAATAAAAATGAAACAGCTTGCGATTACACATATTTGACAGGTGTAGGCGTAAGGTGTCACCTAGGATTGGCTAAACCATTGATTTCTATTTCTTTCAGGTATGGGCTACCATAGATCCCTTCAACCAATCAATCAGACTATTTCCAATCAAAGCCAGAGCTCGAACCATTACTGGTATTATTGATATCTTAATCTCTATCTATAAAAGGCAGGATGTGTGTGTGTGTGTGTGTGTAACGAATGCACCGCCACAATTTTCGACGGATTTGCACCAAAATTTACATGCACATGCTCCAAGTTAGCGGAAAGGCCAATACCGACGTTGCATTTCCTAATTTCCATCGATAGTGAAAATAATCGATTTTTTCATGATTCTACGGCAGTTTTCATGTAGTTTGTGGCCTTTTTCTACTGGCCAGAGTGAAAGCCAATAGCTGGCTGCCACGAATGTTAACTAGCATGCTAGCATGCAAAAAAATCGATAGCTGCATTCGTCACAAGTGGGAAAAATTTAAATTTGCATGGCACTTTACTCCAATTGGCTCATTCGCTTGCTTAAACTCAACGTTGATTCTGATTCCACAAAACTGGGTTGGGTGTGAAAAAGTATTTGTTGTTAACATTCTTTTTTCATTTGGTTTTTCTAGATACGAGTCCTTTTTTTTAAAGCTGATCGTTTTGTGTTCATTTTGTTTAGTTCTTTTTTCGTAACAGATTTAATGTTTAGTATAGAGCTTAGAAAAAATTCGCAGTGTGAGATAGGCAAGAAGTAAGGCATGTAGCAACATCAGCACGGCAAAGGACACTCCTTTAAAGACAAGGAAGGGTAGAAAATATTTTAATTCAAGTGATAGCGTTGCTGCATGAGTCGTACGATTTTTGAATCAAGCACAGGCAACGCCGGGCCATGCTGCTAGTCTGCCATATTTCGTTTAACCCCGCACTACGTAGACATTGATGAATACGGAGTTTGTCTACATCATATTGTTTGATACGGGCAGTGTATTGACCTGAAGCGGTTTATCTAGCCATCAATTTTTGGAACTGGCCGGTTACGATTGCCTTTGTTGTTTGTTTTCATTTTGTTTAGATTTCCACTTCAAGATGCTTGTATTTTGATTTTGAAGATCTTCAAAGTACATCAGAGTCTGCAGGAACTGTCATGTTAATAATAATGCACATTCTGTTTTGCTTGTCGTTCATCACAATGTCTGGTTGATTAGCTGTAATTCTCCGTCCGTGTGTTTAGTAAAATCTCATAGAAATGTTACAAATCCTTTGAAACCGTGTCTAGGTGGTATTCATACAAATCGTTTGCAGTTTTCCCCACATGAATATTGAAGATTTTCCAGTACATATATTGACCACCTTGTCATATCAAGTTTTATATTTAATATATATTAGATTTTATTTTTTAACACTTCAAATATTATTAAAGTGGGCACTTCGTATTTGAAATAGACGTAACATTTTTATTTATTAAACAGTGTGTATTACGTCTACTGGGCAACGAAATCGGGAAATTCTAGTAAGGAAAATTAGTTCCACGGCAGCGATCGAACATGCGTTTTCCTTTGTAGGGATATCAGGTTTGATCAAGTTTGCTTTACCGTACGTACCCGAAGATCATCATAGCAAGCGATTATTGTATCATATTATATTGTATATTTATTTACATTATTATTATTATTATTATTATTATTTCAACAAAATTACTTGCTTCTATGAAAGATTAGTGACATCGTCTTTACTAATAAAAAAACTGAACCTGTTGGCTGAGGCTTCAGAAAACGCCGACTGCACTTCTTCAGGGGGGTAATACCCCACCAAATGAGGCGTCCTGGGTAAGTCGATAAATTATGTCCAACAGCAGGAGGTTTTGAGGAGCGTGGAAGCAACTCTTAATTGCTGGTGTCCCCAGGTCCACCCTGACCCGGGGTGGTAGCGCCTGTTAGGGTCCTAGGTATGGGCAAATAGTTGAACTCAAACAAGGGTCAAAACGGTGTGGAGGTAAACATAGTATTAATATCAGTAATACCTTTTTGAATGCAAAATTATTAACAGCAATATATTGAGGAAAAACTACCAGCAATACATTTTTGTAGGAAAAAAAATTACCAGCAATGCTTTTGTGAAGGAAGAATTATTGCCAGAAATACATTTTTAAAGGAAATGTATTAAAAACCAGTATTACCAGCAATACATTTTTTGAAAAATATTACCTGCAATACATCCAAGAAAAATATTACCAGAAATAGATTTCTGAAAGGAAAAATATTACCAGAAATACCCACTATGAAAGTGTAAAAATAGATTTTAATACCAGAAATACTTCCCGTCCTGGGTATGAGGATAAACTACATCTGCCTCATGGACCATAAACTACGTGCAACAGTAAGGCCTCTAATGAGTTCCAAGGTCCACCCTGACCCGGGGTGGTAGCACCTGTTATAGTCCCACCGATGGGCAAATAGTTAAACCAAAATTCGGGTCAAAACACCATGAAAGTGTAAAAGTAGATTTTAATAACAGAAATACTTTGTCAAAAAATATTACCATCAATACATTTTTGAAAAAAATATTAGCAGCAATACATTTTTGAAAAAAAAAATATTAGCAGCAATACATTTTTGAAAAAAAAATATTACCAGCAATAAATTTTTGAAAAAAAATATTACCAGCAATACATTTTTGAAAAAGAATATTACCAGCAATATATTTTTGAAAATAAATATTACCAGCAATACATTTTTGAAAAAAAAAAACATTACCAGCAATACATTTTTGAAAACACAATATTACCAGCAATACATTTTTGAAAACACTATATTACCAGCAATACATTTTTGAAGAAAAAAATATTAGTTACTATACATTTTTGAAGGAAAATATCACCAACAATAAAAAAATTGACTGTATTAAATAACATAACAAACCAAATGAAACCACACCTTAAAAAAAAAAATAACAAAACAATATTTTCCGTCTTCTATGACATACCGAGTTTCTTTAAGACCTGGACAGCTACAGGTCTCCACAACTTTCTACCCTTTGTAAATTCATACAATGTTTGTCTTTTCACTATTAATCATAGTCCTGTTATGATATCCGTTTTACAAAAACCTCATTATGCAGTTTACTCGCAGCTTCTCTCTGACCCTTGCGTTCAATATGTACCGTGTCAGAGTTACTTGGCCTTCTTT